ATGTTGGCCCAACGTTGGCACAATGTTTGTAATACACACAAGTGTTATTTTGTTTAGGTCTTTCAAAGATGGGATATTTATATTGGGCCAACGTTGGCCCAATTATTATACTTCCAACTAATTGATGGTGTTAATTTTATAATTAGCTGCTGAGCTTTAGGTTGGGACAAGGTTGGCACATTCTGAAATAATTAAAAGGACTTTCTATGTCTATGCTTATCATTGGTTGACTGCTTTTGTTTAGATATGATATTTTCAACATTTTAACTTTGCACTTAAGTGATCAAGCACCAAAGAGTGTTTTATTCTATTTTTTGAATTGTGTATATGCTTATTTATTTGTAATAACCCAGATAGCGGAACACCGTTGGCCCAATCTTACATTATGGTTCTATTATCTATGTTGAGTTACCTTGATTGGGCCAACAATGGCCCAACATGGAATATTGATAGCTGGTTATGTATAATAGTGCGCTAATGTTGGGCTAACTGTTGGCATTATATCATAAAACTATAATCATGAGAGAAAATATTTGTTTGGGGATTGGCATCGGCCCTACGTTGGTCCAATATACCATGAATCTGACTGAGGATCATGGGTAGATAACAACCGGGCTACTTGTAATATCCGCGCCATTTTTAATCTGACACAGCGAGCGTAATGAGACTGATACCTTGCATATCTGCATCCACTTTGTAAGTATTAATAATATGTTTGCCTCGGCATAGCTGAATTAACGTTTAGTTTTTAAACATATCATATACAAATCTGTGTAAATCAGACACGGGGAAGTGCAGAGGCCAGGTGCTGTTGGGTCAACACTGTACAGATAGCATGCTAACATTGGGCCAACGTTGGGCCAATGTAATCGGTTACATCGGGCCAATGTTTGAAAATGGCATTGACCCAATTTAAGTTTGCTCATCGGCCCAATGTTGGCCCGATATGTTGGGTCAACGTTGGCCCAATGTAGAGTGTTATTTCTACAGATATTGGCCTAACGTTGCGCCAACATTGGCCCAATGAATGCGACATTGTTGGCGAAACGTCAACAAGAACATTGGGCCGATGTTGGCAAATGAGGTTAGCCCAGTGTCATTTTGCTCCTTTGCCCAATGTTAGCCCGATATATTGGACCAACACTGGGCCAATGTGTATAAACATTTAATTTTTACAAATCTGTATATATTTACAAATCTGATCGTCTCTACAATCAGAAATAAATCTACAACCAATCCTTCTTGAAAAATCAAGCTAGCTAAAATAAATTTAAAATTCTTATAATTTATCAAAACAAAATAAATTATCAGTGATTAAATTTTTTGTTTCTATACAAGAAAAATAAATGAAAGTATAAAAATGTGTTTTGATACAGTTAAAACAATAAATAATTTGCTCCTTTTGTGTCTATAGTAGAATACATTTCCGAAGTCTAAGTTAATTTACTTATATACACTTAACGTCGAGTACATGATCAAACATTTTTAAAATGATGAACTTGCTGAAGTTAAAACAAAATTTGTTCAGTACTAAAAATAAATTGGGTTCTTTCATTTAAAATTTGTTCATTGTAACGACAAATTTTCAATACATGTATTTTATATGGGGCAACATTGAATCAAAATTGTTGTGATGATGATTATCAAGCGTATAAATATCATGCATAAATGCCTTCATAACGCAAGCTAATCACTAAATCACACCATGAAACAAAAAAGACGGTTGTTCCTTAATTGACAGCTTAAACATATAGTGATATACTTGTAAATTTAATCATATGTTTACTCTTTACTGAGAAAAGTAACAAATGTATTAAGTACCAAATATTACAATTTTAGTGCTACTGGAGATTCTAAAAAGACATGGAGAACACAATCAAAGAATGGCTAAGTTATGCCAAGGACAGGAATGGGGAGCAAGAAACGGACAGAGAAGAAAAGAAGGGGGAGGAGGAGACTCGGGAGAGAGGAAATGGAGAATTAGGAGAGGGATCAGATGGAAAGTGGCAGTGCCTAACTTTTTTCTGTAATATAGTGTGACAAACCTGTAGTTCTACCCTTTTTTGTGTCTGTTTGTCGGTTATAAACACGATGCAGATGCCAGAAACATTTTTTGTGTTAGTAAACAAAATGACGGGATTCATTTTAGTATTATTTTAAGAACAGGAGGGCTTTGTTTATTTCTTAGACGTGCTTATTGATACCTGTAATTTACTGAACTTGTGCATAATTTACATCAGAGAGGGAGTATACAGTCATGTAACCCTACATGTATCGCTTGAAGTGAGCATCGACTTTTAATTCTTTATTAATGTTTTCTTCATGCACTGAGCAATAAAATTATAGTATGTTATAACTTAATTTTATATTTTGATTTCTTTTTCCTCAGCTTTTTTAATTAATGTAGAGCTACTTACAATGCAATACTTGTTGATGACAATTCTATGAGATATTGAGAATATGTATTACACTATCAATCTAGCATATATAGCATACAAGATAGTATTAAAGGGCTTTTACCATTAAACTGTACTACAAAACTAGTATAACCTTATTATATATATTTGTTTGTCAATTTTGAGGACAAATGGCCAACCAGTGAAGAGCAAATGAGTTGTCATGATGGAGAGCCAATGATACAAACCAACGTTGAAAAATGATGTTTTCCTAATATTGAGATAATAAGTGGCCCAACAATGGCTCAATGATATCCGTTGTTGGTCCAACAAAAGCCAACAAGTTGGTCTGATTAAGGGCCTAATATTACCGTTGGCCCCAACATTCATTGCTTACAATGGCCCAACTGTACAAAAATGACGTTTACCCAACATTGAAAAAATACATTGGCCCAACAGTGGCCCAATATTAACTGTTACATTGGCCAAACAATAAGCCAACAAGTTGGGTTGATTAAGGGCCGATGAGCAAATTACCGTTGGCCCAACATTAGTTGCTTACAATGGCCCAATTGTACAAAAATGACGTTTGCCCAATATTGAAATAATACATTGGCCCAACAATGGCCCAATGTTAACTGTTACATTGGCCCAACATTAAGTCAACAAGTTGGTTTGATTAAGGGCCGATGAGCAAATTACCGATGGCCCAATGTTGAAATCAAACAGTGGCCCAACATAAGGAGCGTTGTTGGCCCAACAAAGGTCCAATAACATCCTGCTATCTGGGATGCATTATTAGGAAATCAACCATGATCTTGTGGAAAGAAAATATGTATTCCTATATAAAAATAGGCGGTTAAGAACTTGAAATTATCATGTTTAGCATAAATCTTGTGGTTAGATTACCATTTTTGAACGTTTTTTAAATGATCAATCTATGTATAAAAACATACATGTAATAGGTGTGTCAGATACCATGCTTTATTACATTTTTACTCGTGAAATACTGTAATTTATTCATTGAATAAAAACAATATCCTGTCACAGTGTGAAAGGATATCAAAATGATATGCTGTCACAGGGTGACGAATATCAGAAGTGCTGGAAAACTCTCGAATTCCCTTCCCTTAACGAAGGTTGCTGTAAAAAAAATCTTCCTTGACCTAATATAAGATAGATGGAAATAAATAAACCATTCTGACAGCGAATAAAACTGTCAAAATAACCAAAAATACGTTGTCAAATTCATGTTTACAGTGTTTTCACCTCACTTATCTATGACGTCTCAACCGCTCAACTATGACGTCATGTAGTCTATGACTATAACAATCGGCAATCCTCGGCTGACTCCGCTACGCTCCATTCAAACCTCGGATGTGATTGGTGGATGAATACGCATCAGATCCTTACATTTCTCCGCCGGAAACTGCCTTATCACTCATTTCGTATTTCGCTCTGCATAACGTTCTTCGAAAATGTTTATTAATTTGTGCAATTCTTTACCGTAAACAGGTTTAGGTTACATCCTCATGTTAATAGGCTTTGAAAGCAAGAAAAAACTGTCGAGCGTACCACAAAATAACTCCGATTTCAAATGTATGGCATTTGAAAGAAATTCAAATAAGATCACATGACTAAATCGGCAAGATGGTAGATCACCGTTGACGTCCGAGGTTATGTGCGAGGTACGAGTCATCCGAGGAAATCCGAGTGTGACTATAACAAAAAGAAAAGTGCAAAAGAAAAATCAAAGATTTTTTTTTTAAAAATGTGAGAAATAGAAAATTCAATATTTTGTAGTTGAATATGGAATTTATTTCACTCGTGAGACAGGATTTTTTGACATTTTCACTTGTGCTTCGCACTCGTGAAAATATCAAAAATCCTGTCCCACTCGTTAAATAAATTCCATATTCAACAATGAAACATTGAATATCCTCTATATCTTTTATTTCAAGCTCATAAGGGTATATCAAGTCAACATAAATGTATGAATGGAATTACCTATTTTTAAGTAATGATATGTCGTTGATATAGTTTTATGTCGAATTTAAGGCCACAAAAAAATTTTGATATATTTTGCTTAATATGAAAACAAAAATAAATCTGCAAAAAATATGGAGCAATTTTCCACCCCTGTGGATAAAAGCAAAGTAGATTTTTACTACATTAACTATTGATGTCATCTTTCTTAAAATGATTTATTAACAAACTATATATTTCTTCAAAATTCTTATTATCAGCATTATTGAAGTATTTAATACATTTAGAATGATCAATGATTAATGTTATCGGGAGTATGTTTTCAAATTTGAAAATATAAACCATGTTTTGTAAAGGGAAACTATATATCCTACTTCCACATCTGATAATGTTAATAAATATAAGTATCTTGAAAAATTTCAAAACAGTTATGCTTAGCTTTATAAGTATTTTTATTTGTTAAATGCTTTTTGAATGAAAAAATGCACTTAAAAGTTTTCTCTATTCTGATGGTCTAATCATCATTGTTGATCTCTTCAATGCTTCGTTAAACCAACTATGCCATCTGTTGTATCTGTCATCTTTTATTGCCGACTGAGCAAACAGTCCGTTCAATTAAGAAATAAGGTATCATTTTTTGAGTTTTATTGAGATGTAAAACGGGTTGGTCACGTGATCAAATCCCATAAAGCCCGAAGGGCTTTATGGAAGATTTGATCATGTGTCAACCCGTTTTACATCTCAATAAAACTCAAAAAATGATACCTTATTACTTATATTTACATTTGTGACTTATTCATACTTTATATTTGCCTGATTGTTACTTTTAACGTGTGAAATTCGTTAATTTTTCAAACCCAACGGCATGTATGTAATCCACTAAACGCGCGTCTACCCTTTATGACGTCACAGAGAAATTACGTGGAACGTTTATCCAAACGCACATCTATGACCTCTTGACCCCAAACCTGTATTTACACAGTTATAAAAACGCTTGCCTTCAGTAGTGTTATGTAAAGGAAAACATTTGCAAATGTAAATATATTGGAATGATAACAGTTGTTATACCACCACCCTCCTTTATAGATAACTGCACAATTAGAACTGTTACGATCATTGTCTTGATCTTTTGTGGTAAATTTCATTCTATTGTGCTGAATAAGACTGTCACCTGGAAGTAAATTTTATTTAAAAAATCATTTAAAAAGAATAGAGGTATCTAACTGGAAAATCGAAACCAGAGTTCGATCTTGGTAACAGAGTGTTTACCATAGAAAGAAACTGGTTGTTGGTTGTATCCCAGATAGCATGACTATGTTGGGCCAACATTTGTTAAAGGTTGTATGGTTGGCGTTGGGGAAACAACATTGGGCCAACGTTGGACCAATGTAACCAAGTCAACCTTCCCGACCATGACTGAATTCCTTTATTGGCCCAACGTTGGTCCTACGTAAGCAACCTCCATTCACTTTACTTTCCAAGGAAGGAAGGATCCTGGTGTTGGCCCAACATTGGACCAATGTTTATAATACACCCTTAAAGATAGTATATTTACAAGTTGGTAGTAGTATGTTGGTCCAACGTTGGCCCGATGTTTCTAATACACCCTTGAAGAATGTGTCTTATCAAGTTGGTAGTATTATGTTGGCCCAACGTTGGCCCATTGTTAGTAATACACCCTTAAAGAAAGTGTCTTTCAAGTTGATAGTAGTATGTTGGTCCAACGTTGGCACAATGTGTGTAATATAATCTTAAAGAAAGTGCCTTATCAAGTTGGAAGTAGAATGTTTCCCCAACGTTGGCCCGGTGTTTCTAATACACCCTAAAAATGTGTCTTATTAAGTTGGTAGTATTATGTTGGTCCAACGTTGGCCCATTGTTTGTAATACACCCTTAAAAAACGTGTCCTATCAAGTTGGTAGTAGTATGTTGGCCCAACGTTGGTACAATGTTTGTAATACACCCATAAAGAAAGTGCCTTATCTAGTTGAAGTAGTATGTTGGCCCAACGTTGTCCCATTGTTTGTAATACACCCTAAAAGAACGTGTCCTAACAAGTTGGTAGTAATATGTTGGCCCAACGTTGGCACAATGATTGTAATACACACAAGTGTTATTTTGTGTAGATGTTTCAAAAATGGGATATTTATATTGGGCCAACGTTGGCCCAATTATTATACTGCCAACTAATTGATGGTATCAATTTTATAATTAGCTGCTGAGCTTAACGTTGGGACAACGTTGGCACATTCTGAAATAATTAAGAGGACTTTCTATGTCCATGATTATCATTGGATGACTGCTTTTGTCTAGATATGATATTTTCAACATTTTAACTTTACACTTAAGTGATCACAGCACCAAAAGTGTTTTATTCTATTTTTTGAATTGTGTTTATGCTTATATATTTATTTGTAATAACCCAGATAGCAGAACATCGTTGGCCCAATCTTACATTATGGTTCTATTATATATGTTGGGTTACCTTGATTGGGCCAAAGATGGCCCAACATGGAATATTGAAAGCTGGTTATGTATAATGGTGCGCTAATGTTGGGCTAACCGTTGGCATTATATATATCATAAAACTATTATCATGAGAGAAAATATTTGTTTGGGGATTGGCATCGGCCCTACAATGGCCCAATATACCATGATTCTGACTGAGCATCATGGGTAGACAACAACCGGGCTACTTGTAATATCCGCGCCATTTTTAATCTGACACGAGCGAGCGTAATGAGACTAATACTTTGCATATCTACATCCACTTTGTAAGTACATGTATTTATAATATGTTTGCTTCGACACAGCTTAATTAACATTCATAGATTAAACGATATCGTGTACAAATCTGTGTAAATCAGACACGGGGAAGTGCAGAGGCCAGGTGCTATTGGGTCAACACTGTCCCAGATAGCATGCTAACATTGGGCCAACGTCGGGCCAATGTCATCGGTTACATTGGGCCAATGTTGGCAAATGACATTGACCCAGTTTAAGTTTGCTCATCGGACCAATGTTGGCCCGATATTTTGGTCCATTTGAGTGTTATTTCTACAGATATTGGCCTAATGAATGCGAAATTGTTGGCGAAACGTCAACAAGAATAATGGGCAGATGTTGGCAAATGACGTTGACCCAGTGTCATTTTGCTCCTTGGCCCAATGTTGACCCGATATATTGGACCAACATTGGGCCAATGTGTATAAACATTTAATTGTAACAAATCTGTATATTAACAAATCTGATCGTCTCTACAATCAGAAATAAATCTACAACCAATCCTACTTGAAAATACAAGCTAGCTAAAATAAATTTAAACTTCTTATAATTTATCAAAACAAAATAAATTATCAGTGATTAATTTTTTTGTTGTTATACAAGAAAAATAAATGAAAGTATAAAATAACAAATGTGTTTTGATACAGTTAAAACAATAAATAATTTGCCCCTTATTCAGATTGAAATTTGTGTCTAGTAGAATACATTTTCGAAGTCTACCACTTAATTTACTTATATACACTCAACGTCGAGTGCATGATCAAACATTTTGAAAATGTTGAACTTTTTGAAGTTAAAAAAAATATTCAGTACTAAACATAAATTGGGTTCTTTCATTTAAAATTTGTTCAGTGTACAAATTTTCTATACATGTATTTTATATTGGGCAACATTAAAATCAAAATCGTTGTAATGATGATGATTAAGCGTAGAAATGTAAGCTTATCACTTAATCACACCATGAAACAAAAAACACAATTATTCCTTGATTAACAGCTTAAACATATAGTGATATACTTTTAAATTTAATCGTATGTTTACTCTTTACTGAAAAAAGTAACAAATGTATTAAGTACCAAATACTTCAATTTTAGTGCTACTGGAGATTCTAAAGAGACATTGAGAACACAATCAAAGAATAGCTAAGGTATGCCAAGGACAGGGATGGGGGAGGAAGAAACGGACAGAGAAGAAAAGAAGTGGAAGGAGGAGACTTGGGAGAGAGAAGAGGAGACTTAGGAGAGGGATCAGATGGAAAGTGGCAGTGCCTAACTTTTTTCTGTAATATAGTGTGACATACCTGTAGTTCTACCCTTTTCTGTGTCTGTTTATCGGTTACAAACACGATGCAGATGCCAGAAGTAAAGTAAACATTAATATTGTAAGTAAACAAAATAACGGGACTCATATTAGTATTTTTTTAAGAACAGGAGGGCTTTGTTTATTTATAAGACGTGCTTATTGATACCTGTAATTTACTGAACTTGTGCATAACTTTATATCAGAGAGGGAGTATACAGTCATGTAACCCTACATGTATCGCTTGAAGTGAGCATCAACTTTTAGTTCTTTATTAATGTTTCCTTCATGCAATGAGCAATAAAATTATAGTATGTTATAATTCAATTTTATATTTTGATTTCTTTTTCGTCAGTTTTTTAATTAATGTAGAGCTACTTACAATGCAATACTTGTTGATGGCAATTCTATGAGATATTGAGAATATGTATTAAACTATTAATCTAGCATATATAGCATATATAGATAGTATTAAAGGGCTTTTACAATTAAACTGTACTACAAAACTTGTATAACCTTATTGTATATACTAATATATTTGTTTGTGAATTTTGAGGACAAATGGCCAACCAGTAAAAAGCAAATGAGTTGTCATGATGGAGAGCCAATCAGATACAAACAAACGTTGGCCCAAAAATGATGTTTTCCTAATATTGAAAGAATAAGTGGCACAACAATGGCTCAATAATATCCGTTCGTTGGTCCAACAATAAGCCAACAAGTTGGTCTGATTGAGGGCCGATGAGCAAATTACCGTTTGTCCAACATTCATTGCTTACAATGGCCCAACTGTACAAAAATGACGTTTGCCCAACATCGAAAAAATACATTGGCCCAACAGTGGCCAAATATTAACAGTTACATTGGCCCAACAATAAGCCAACAAATTGGTCTGATTGAGGGCCGATGAGCAAACTACCGTTGGCCCAACATTCATTGCTTACAATGGCCCAACTGTACAAAAATGACGTTTGCCCAACATTGAAAAAATACATTGGCCCAACACTGGCCCAATATTAACAGTTACATTGGCCCAACAATAAGCCAACAAGTTGGTTTGATTAAGGGCCGATGAGCAAATTACCGTTGGCCTAAAATGACGTTTGCCCAATATTGAAATAATACATTGGCCCACACTGGCCCAATATTAACTGTTACATTGGCCCAACAATAAGCCAACAAGTTGGTTTGATTAAGGGCCGATGAGCAAATTACCGATAGCCCAATGTTGAATGCAAACGGTGGCCCAACATAAGGAGCATTATTGGCCCAACAAAGGTCGTCCAATAACATTCTGCTATCTGGGATGTTGTTTAGGTCCCATACGAGAATTTTCTCTCATATAAAGAGTCCGAAATACTAGTATACCATTGAAGGGCTTTCAATTTGCCATTTACTTATTATTCAGGGCCAATGAGCAGTGAGGGAATTCATACTGTTATCACCTGCCCTGAAAAGGGACCTCGGTTTTAGAGGTCTAATTCGAAGGACCTGCAATTTTTACTTTAAAGTACCGCGTGTATGGCAAAGAACAGGCATGGGGTCATAAAACTTAGACGAGCTCACTTTTGATCTCAGTCTCACTTTAACCAAAGGAATATATAGTGGAAAAGTGAGACTGGGATCAAAAGTGAGCTCGTCTTAGTTTTTGTGGCTCCCAGGCCAGTTGCTATCTATCTATGTTTAGATCACGTGAATAAACTCAAGTGACCTATTGCTATCTGTTTTCGTCCGACGTCGTACGTTGTACGTCGGTCGTAAATTTTTTTTAGCTTCTTCTCTTGAACTACTAGTACTCAACCAATTTCAACCAACATCTAAGGATAAAGGGGAACGAATATTGTGAACTTGATGGTCCCCGCCGCTCTGGAGCCTGAGGGGTGGGACCAAAACCACTAAAATTAATGAAATCTTTAAAAATCTTCTTCTTTACTCCTGGACATCAAGCAGTCAAACTGTTGGTATGAGTGTAATGAGCATTGGATTTTCTACCAAAATTGTGAAATTCAAGGTCCCAGAGTCAGGAGTTCTAGTGCTAGGACAGGGTTTCGAAAATCCTCTTCTCTGCTCCTGGGTATTAAAAGACTAAAAAAGTACATTGTTATGATGAGCAAGAATGCCTCTTTTAAAATTGTGAATTTTGTGGTCCCAAGGTTGGGGGTTCTGGTGTTAGGGCGGTTCTATTGATTATATACTGAAGATGCATTAATTCTTTGAAAAACTTCTTCTCTGCTCATGGGTATTAAATGAACTAAGCTTTAATCTAAAGTTTTTATGAGCAAGAGTGTCTCAACCGAATCTGTGAATTACATGGCCCCTGTGTCAGAGCTTTTTCCTATTTCGTATAGGGGGCCCTTTTGATTATATAGTAAAATACATAAAATATTTGAAAATCTTTTTCTTTGCTTCAGGGTTTTATGTCAATGATCTAGGTATAAATATTTATGATGAAAACAAGAGGCCCATGGGCCTTATAGGTCACCTGAGAATCATGCAACAACTTTCAAAAGGTTAAATTTGGTTCATGTTTTAAGGTAGATGCTATGTCATAATTTTGAAAGAGGCTGGCACCATTGCTTATCAACTATTAACTTAGTAATTGCTTAGTTTGGTTACTTAAAGGGGCTGAGTGGTCGTTGCCATTTTTAGACAATTTCGATCTCCTTTAGAAGATCTCCATATCAAGATATACACAAAAAAAAATCAATTTTTAAAACTAATATGTATGAAACAAAAAATGCATATCAACTTATCAGTATTATTAAGCAATAATCAGTAGTGTCCCTACCACACATGAACCCCTGACCCTAGGTCCACACATTGCACAATTTATGAAAAGGCACACTTGCTTATCAAAAACAATTGATGGATACCAAGGAGCAGATTTCAAACAATTCATTTTCAGTATATAAGTAGAGCCCCCTCCCCCCGCCCCCTCCTTTGTATCCCTGACCCAGGGGCCTTGAAATGCGTAATCATGGAAAAAGAGCCCTTGCACATCATAACTATATAGGTAGTTTATTTGCTTATTACCCAGGCGAAGAGAAGAAGATTTTCAAAGACTAAATGTATTTTCACTATATAATCATTACAGAGCCCCCCTCTAACACCAGAACCCCTGACCCTGGGGCAATGAACTTCACAATTTTGGTAGAAGCATTCTTGTTCATGATAGTTATGTTCTTAGTTAGAATACTTAATAAGTAGGAGCACAGAAAATGATTTTTAAAGAATTAGTGCATTTTTCACTATGTAATCAATAGAGCCCTACCCTAAAACCACTAAAACCAGAAACCCTGATCCTTGAGTCCTAAAATTCACAATTTCAGAAGAGGCACTCCTGCTTATCATAACTATGTACTTATTTGGTTTATTTAATACTCAGGAGCAGAGAAGATTTTCAAAGAATCAATGCATTTTCACTATACATGTATATAAATAAATCACCCTAACACCAGAACCCCTGACCCTGGGGCCATGAATTTCAAAATTTTGGTAGAGACACTCTTGCTCATTATAACAATGTACTTAGTTAGTTTCTTTAAAACCAAGAAGCAGAGAGGTATAATGTGAAAAAATTCTGTGTTCAAATATTGGAGATATATAATATTATACCGATCCAGGGAGCTCCTAGCACCCCTGCTGGGGTATTACCAGAGGGCTTCTGCGAAAGTTTTGCCTCACTTTTATATTGTACGTTATTGAATAAATGAATTTAAAAGGGAAAAAAGACGCAGAAAAGTATGCTGTATTTTCAAAGAATTAATGCATTTTCACTATATAATCAATAGAGCCCCGTCCTAACACAAGAACCCCTGACCCTGGGGCCATGAATTTCACAATTTGGTAGAGTCATTCTTGCTCATTATAACTATGTACTTAGTTAGTTTACTTGATACCCAGGAGCAGGGAAGAAGATTTTCAAAGAAATAATGCATTTCAATATATAATCAATATAGCCCCACCCTAGCTCTAGAACCCCTGACCCTGGGGCCATGCATTTCACAATTTCGGTAGAAGACTCAATGCTGATAACAATCATGTCAACTGTTTGACTGCTTGATGTCCAGGAGTACGGAAGAAGATTGCACTAATTTTAGTGGTTTTGGTCCCATCCCCAGGCCCCTGGGGGGCAGGGACCATAAAATTCAAAATTTTTGTTCTCCTTTACCGATAGATGCTATATGCCAAAATTGGTTGAAATTGGTTCAGTGGTTTCAGAGAAGAAGCTGAAAATGTTCAAATGTTAACACATGACGACGGACGAAAACGGTGCACGTAGCAAAATGGTTTATTTCATGCCCCCTGGGTCAAGGGTAATGGGGGGGGGGGGTTACATATTCTGTAAATATATTAGTGCTTTGAAATCTGCTCTTTGGTATTAATCAACCATTTGTGATGAAATAAAATTTACGATAAAATTTCCAACATTTTGAAATAAGTGGCCACAGGGTCAGTGGTTCCTTTGGAGTGGGGTGCCAAACCAAATTCAATTGTTAGAAAGTTGTTATATGATACTCAGGTGACCTATAAGGACCATTGGCCTCTTGTTATTGATGTTGGTCAGTCGCGGTCGATATTCGAACTCAGGACCTTAAGATCACGGAGTGAGCGATTTGTCTACTGAGCTATCTGGAACGGTCTAGAAGGAGAAGCAGTATCTTAATAAAAGGGTCCTTGAAAGTAAGGGATAAAAAAGAAAATATTAGAAAAACACATTACCTATGCCACTGTGCCCAGACACACTGAGTTTGTATTTACTTCCTTCGTCACCAACAGCAAAACTGGAGTACTTGGCGTACCCTTTCTGTCCATTAAATCTCTGAAGATCCAAACGAAGTTCATGTTTTCTATTCTTTGTGAGTAAATGTAAAGCATCGTTTCCTGAGAAGAAAAGTTAAGAAATAATATATTATTATAAGTCATATGAAATGAAACGTAAAGATAATGAACCAGGATCTTGATCAGGGATCAACCGAAACAATACAAATTGTAAGCAGAATCAAAAAGGTCCCCTGAAAACGGAAGCTGAATCAGGTGCCATATAAGAGTAAACATCTTGTCAAAGCTTTTATAAGTTTCCTATCATGAACGAATAAACGGGTAAATCGTTGAAAAATTGCAAAAATTAAAAAAAAAATACTTAAATAAAAATTCGACCCAAAAATGGATATTGTTTACAAAGAAGGCCTTTTTGTCAACAGTAGAAATTACAATGAATGGGATATTCTCGTCCTTTTATTTGTCCATCAATTTCATTCTCCATAAATATCCAAATACGAAACAGATCCAAAAAAATGTGCAGTGTGCTTAATAAAAGATTGTAAATGATGTTGTTAATTAATAAAATATTGTCGATATGAAGATTTAAGAACAGATCTGCTATTAATGACATACAACACGTAAGTTCCATTTTGATTTTGAACAGATTGAAGAAGGTACTCGAGTAAACATACATACCCAGGGGACGCACACTCATTCCAGGCATCTGGTCTCCACTATGAGGTTTTCAACAGGTCTTGATTTGCTCTGTTTCCTTATCGTATTGTTTCGATAGATTTTTGAGTTTGATAACTGTCTCCATATTTTGTATTTTACAAAATTTAGAAAAAGTTATAGATTTTTGAGTTTGATAACTGTCTCCATATTTTGTATTTTACAAAATTTAGAAAAAGTTCAATGTGATTAAAATTGTCATTTTTTCACTTGATTTCCTACCTATCCAATAGTTTTTGCTAGGATCCCCAAAGCCAGCTTTATATTCGTTCCAGGTTCTATAGAAATTTGTACTCCCGTCCTGTCTTTTTTGAATGACCTTTGAATGAAAACAACGAAATATACCGGGTAAATACATTTATAAGATTACGTTGTATTATGATAGAATTCATAAATCTAAAAAAAAAATATTGTCATAATCCCTCACCGTCCATCCTCCACCCTCTGTTGTCATGTCACAGTACACATTCTTCTTTCGTTTTCCATCCGGATAAATGCACAGGATGAAAAGCCAGGTTTCCCAAATTTGGAAACCCGATGGAAACATATGGGAATCGTGACATCAGTAGTTTCCATATAGTTTCCATTTTATGGAAACCACATAGTGGTTTCCACATAGATTCCCGACATGGAAACAATCAACCTGTGGTTTCCCGTAAGTTTCCCAAGATAGGAAACCATGGAAACATACCCCGGTGGTTTCCACATAGATTCCCGACATGGAAACAATCAACCTGTGGTTTCCCGTAAGTTTCCCAAGATAGGAAACCGTGGAAACATGCCCCGGTGGTTTCCATGTAGATTCCCGATATGGAAACAACCAACCTGTGGTTTCCCGTAAGTTTCCCAAGATAGGAAACCATGTAAACATGCCTCAGTGGTTTCCATACAGATTCCCGACATGGAAGCAACCAATGTGTAGTTTTCCCCATGTTTCCCAGGCAGGGAAACTTTGAAAGTATATCTCAATACTAACCCACCTACCTTTTATTTTACAAAAAGTTAAATATTTAATTATGTTACCATATTTTTACCAATTATAGAAGTATTTCAAAGTGTTTACATGCTGTATCAAAATAATTAACTTCAAACAGTTAAAATAACTAGATGTGTATTTCTGTGTGATTAATTTAATATTTCAGCACCGTGAACGCAATTCAATTTTAATTTAATTTTATTTAACTGAATTTTATTTACTTTAATTTAATTTTGAATTTGATTTATCACTTAAGTTTTGGTAAACTCGTATAGAATGCGTGAAGTGGAATAGAAAAAAGTAAGTGCATGCAGTTATGTAGAAATCAATCATTTCCGATCCCACTTTCTTGAAGCTGTCTATGATGAATGTTCCTTTGAAAAAATGGAAGAGCTAAGGAAGGGTACATTTAATGAAATTATTTACAGAAAAGGTTTACTAAAAAGGTCGATTAAAAAGTAAATAAAGAAATATGTCAAGTTACGATTACTGATTAAGGACAGATGAGACGTTCCTTAATAAAATAATTAAATTTTTTTCCAATATTTTGCAATTGACATTGAAGAATTATTTTTACATAATTACATGTATTCACAAGACATCAAGGTACCTTACCAGGCATTTGTGTTAGATACCAGAGGTTGGCATTTCTTATATACCGGGGTAATCTGTCAGGAAAAAAATACTTTAGTTGGTTTGTCAAAATTACATTTTTAGTGTTTCAAGTTTTTAAATACAAGTTTAGAAAGTGATAAAGATTTTGTTTTAATATGAATTAATATATTAAGATAAGAATCATTCATCGAATTGGCTGGGGGTTGAGTATTTTCATACTAATATTTTACTATTAATAGTGAATATAGTTTTTTTTTAATTTATTAAATTATTATTTTTATTATTGGGGGTGGGTGGGTTGCTTTTCATTTTTTCCTTGAGAAGCCCCCCCCCCCAAAAAAAAAAACGCTTTTGAAAAAGTCGCTATGGTCGGCCTGTGTAATTAGGGACACCTGTCCTCACGTGCCATTTCAGGTGGAGACACGTGCCGCGAAGACACCTGTCACTGTGTATTTTTTGTATATTCTATGTGAATTGAGACGGTTTTGTACCTAAAGGGAACAATGGGCTGTTGTTGAGCATGTACACACACAGTCTCCGACCGAAAATTCTTTTAAATTAAGATGATGATTCGTGTTTCTTTTATCATTTAAAAAATTGTATATTCCATAAATAAAGTTATACAAGAGAACATATTTATAAAATAACCTACATTTAAGAATTTCAATGAATGAACAAACTATTTAGAATTTTTATTTCAATTTTCATTACTGATTTAAAGTAAAACTATCCTCTTTAGAAATTAGATAATTTTCTATAGGTATTGAATAGATCTTAATTCTCGTCGTGTATAATTATATTAAATCAGAATGACGTTAATAGATCAATGTGAAATCAAAACTGTATTTAATATTGTTGATGGGTTTTTGTGTGAAATTTGTAATTTAACGTACTACAAAGACATTTATTAGATAAATGTTTATAATATAATTCATCACATAAAACGGTTTTTTTCTTTCCTTTTTTTTTGTTTAAATATGTACGCAGATCCCCGTGTAGTAAACGCCTGCACTTTTCGCATGAAATTACAATGTAGGGTCCTAAATGCACATACATTATATTTAACAAACTTTAAAATTTTCAGCCATTTTTTTTTTCTCCAAAGGCCATTGCTCTAGATAAAGAAAAGTCTATAATATTTTGCATGATTTTGTTTTCCTTAAGAACAATGGCTTTTAAAGCAGTGCATGCTAACGAAATCTATTAAAAGAATTAATTGTATAATTAATTCATTGTATAATAGTCACGATTGTATTTTTGTGCAGTTTTTGTTGATTTCATTCTATAAAGGTATGAAGTTTGTCAATACTTCAACAAACATTTCTTTATCTATGTTGTACACTACTTTATTTTTATTCGCCGACATGCTACTCTTTAAAAAAAAAAAACTTGCCTAACTAATAGACTCGATCTTCAGGCCTGTAGGAAAGTAATTTCCGTTAGAGTAATAAACTAACCGGGATTTTATTTTTACTAGCATACCTTACCAGATTTTACCAGAACGAAAAAAAAAACATTTAAAGAAATACAGGGCGGGACCAGCTATAAAGCTGTATGCATAAGTATAGCCCTGCACATCAACGAGTATAGATGACTTTCGACATAATCTTTCCCATGACTTCACTTATACCAATCACGACTAAAATACTGAATTAAAATACTGTTATATTTTCCTGCCTTTGATAAGATGTTAGTTTTGTTCCACCTAGAGATATAACTCTCCTATAAGAAAAAGGTTTTCAAAATTCTGATTCATTTTACAATTTTACGTGTTAAAATGATGTGGGAATTTTTTTAGCTAAAGGCCAAGGAGTTTAAAGTACAATGTACATGTAGCAATTAGAGAAAAGTCTAGCAGGTCCACCAGTAATATTGATAGCAGGCTCAAAATCTAATTAAACCCCGAAAAGGAGGGAGTTCAATTAGTAATTTAACCCCCCCCCCCTAAAAAAAATCACAACAATTTATTAGCAATGAATTATTAATCACCGAACTTTTCAATCATCACTATTGAAATAAAAAAAACTGTTCTTGATAATCATATTATAATTGTAGCTCATTTTCATGCCTTTTAGGATTCCTGTGGAAAGTTCACAATAAAAAAAATGTGCTTTTAAAAATTTAACATCTTTTGGTGTGACATTATAAATTCATAATCATACATGTAACAGTTAAAAGAAGCGGGGAGAGGGGGGGGGGGGGGGTTACTTTCAGCAAGGACGGCCACTACCAACAACCAAGCCCCGAAACCCATATCCCGAAGGCAAATAAGTTGAGGTGTCAAGCAAGAAACATTTTTTTTCTGCTCTTGCCTCATGTATTTAACCGCTTTTTTTTCTAAATATACTGGGCCTACACATCATATCGGCAAAAATATTTAGGAGCCCCTCTTTTATTCCATGAAAAGGGGAAAACTTAATTAAATTCTAATATAAGATCTCATAATCACACTTAATCATAGTGAATGTAAACAGTTTATATTTCCCATCCTGCATCGCTCTGTAGGCGCTTTATTTCATTGGTCAATTTCCCGAGGCGCCATTTTTGGAGGATCGAGAAGGACGAAGAAGAAGGTGTAAACAGCTGGTAAATCACTAAATGTGAAAAGTTAAGATGGTTTCACCACCCAGTGTCTTTAAGACTGTGATAAATGCAATGGCCAACGATGAAGGATTAGTGTACGTATATTTTTGTTAACTTTTTACGGTAAATAGTTGTAATATTTGGCAACAACAAATCTTCACTATCGGAGGCAACTTTTGTTCTGACGCCATTTTGAAAAGTTGGATACCTAAGTTTTAAATTGTTAAGTGTATATATTGCAGAGAGAAAGAGAGAGAGAGAGAGAGAGAAAAAAAAGCTTAACTTAGATTATGGAGGCCCCAAAGGCACCGTGCATGTGCATTCTGTATGTTGTAAAATGGCAACGTTTCGCCTTTTATCATGTTTATTGAAATTGAAAATGTATGCTCCATATGTATGTTCTTTCTCTATATATAAATGAATACTTTTCGGAATAAAAAAAAATATATATTTTAACACCGCTCAAATTATCCGGATGATAATAGTTACACCGAGCATGGTTTCGTAGTTAAATTTAGACTGTAGAACATCCGGTTTGAATACATGTGTTTTCTGACTTTTCGGATAGCCAACTCTTGTTTTTTGGAACTTACGACTTATGGCAAGGTATAAATTAAATATTTTTGGTTCAAAACTTTGATAAAAGCATCGATATTTTTACAAAAAGTGTCTTCAATCTCAGCTTATCCGATTATTCATGAAGGATATCCTCATCAGAACAGTTGGAATAGATTGTAGCGAATAGCATAACCCTTAATCATATGCATGACGATGATATGGAGGAAAAATATACATAAAAAAGTGAATGTAGGTGAAAGTGTGTCCACTTTTCTGAAGAGATTAGGTTTGTTTTATTGTTTATTGAAATAGTTTACTGCTCAAAAGAATTTTTTTTTGTACTAATGTCTAACCTGTTGAGATGAAGATGTAAAAAAAGAAAAGCCTAATATAGTGAATTAATATTGATAGTATGTCAAGAAATGCAAATGAATCATCAGCTTGAATTATCAGTTTTTTCACAATTATTGACCTGAGTAGGTCAATGTATAGCGAATAATACACTCTTTTCCATATCACATCCTAGCCCGAGACACCAATATCAGCCAGAGGGACAGAGGCCCTAGGGCTGATATTGGTCGAAGGTCTGATACAGGATGTGATGTGGAAAAGGGTATGTTTATTACAAACTTGGTAATAAAATACAGAACACTTCAAGTTGAGAAGATCAAGAAAATAAGTAAATAATCATGCACAATAAAACTGCTTACATACATGTACACGGTATTGTCTTACTGAACAGATATAGCTGTCATTAG